ACATGTTCACGGACCGGACCGTTATTATACGAGTTATGTATTGGTGGAAGAATTACACAAACAAAAGTGCCACATAACTGGGACGATCATGACAAATAGAAAGCACCTGCTCTGTGAAATACGAAAGCCAAGATTTGAGAATCGAACCACGTGTGCATATCGTAAAGGTAATATTTTGGTTTAGCGTGGAAGGATAAGAGGATTGTGACGGCTGTGACTACTTGGAATAATGCAGGAATAACTCCTGTAAAAAGAACTCTACGAGGCGGTATTGAAGTCGTTATAAAAAAGCCCCATGTTAATGTAAATTACATCAAATTTATGAGCGGTATTGATCGAGCTGACCAACTGGCTTCGACATATTGTTTTTTAACAAAATCCGTTAAAATAGTGGCGAAAACTATTTTTTGGGGGGTTTGGAGATCTGCTCCATCAATTCATACATTCTTTATAAATAAGTAAAGAAGCAGAGAAACGAACTTTCTTTCAGTAAAGAAGCTTTCTTTCAGTAAAGAAGCAGAGAAACGAACGGCCGCTTAGTCACCTACAATATTTGAAAACAGCATTTCTGAAGCGATCCGACTAAATGGGAAGCTGCATATTATTTTGATGGGGCAAAAAAAAGATTGCAAGGTTTGCTCCCAAAGAACGTCCCAAAGGCGAAAAACTGTATACTACTGTGACACATGGCCCGACAAGCCAAGGATGCATATTGGAGATTGTTTTGTAAAATATCATACGAAGCAAAATTTTAGAATGTAATGTTTAGTACATATGTTTCATTAAGTTAAAAAAATATGTATAATATTAAAATATACGAGTTTAAAGTGTTTTATTGTGTCTAAAATTATTTTAAGTTAACAATAAGAAACTCACGATATAAGCGGGAGTGGTTGATTACTCTCAAGTTGCTGGTTCACCCGACAGAAAAGCGCCACGAGCGCAAAGGGTTAACAAAGTGGGTAAAATACATTTGGCTTTATTATCGCTGATAACAAATATGCCAAATTTAAAAACACGCCAGTAAGTAAATTCACGTTTATCTTAAAAAGTGTTGAATAAAATCTTTTTTGCTAGTATGCTCAGAAATACGTCTACTTTTAAGATGATTGCAAAAATTTTATAGGTTGTAATCCAAAAATGTTTTCCAAAATTTATAAAAAATTATTTTAAAATACAAATTTTAAAAATAAATCATAAAAATGGGCAAATTTTATTTGGAATGAAGCTAAATTTTCGAAATATGAAAGGAAAAACCAAATAAGTTTAATAAAAAAAGAGATATTTATAAATGTATACCAAATTCAATTAACATGGAGGAGCTAAAATTCTAAGAGATAGTTTTTTAAAAATGACTTGTGCGATTTTTCACAAAACTTGGCACTTTGACATGGTCGAGTCGTAGAATCGAAATATGGAAAAAATGGGTATGTTATGTCAGAAAAAGTCTGATTTCGTGGCAAAATACCTATGTTAAAACAATGCTACATATCAATCTAATCTATATCCTAAGTGGTGCTTTCGAGACATGGAAAACGCGAGTTAAAAATCGGTCCAGTAGAACTGTATCAATTTTTTTGGGCAAGGTGTACTTGCTATTGAATTTCAATGAAGGATTCGACTAACTGAAGTGATCCCTTTGCTTCGTAGGTTGGAATGGTGAATCTTTTCATAGCATTCGAAAATATAAATTACTGTTATTATTTTAAGGGATTAGCTTATTTTCTCAGTTATCCATTGCTAGGTGATTCAAACTAGTGTCTGTCTTTGGTAGTAGACAGTAATAATGTTATATACCAGTAACAAATCGTAAACAGTTCAGAAGCATTTATCTACTAAAGTTAACCTTGATTAGCGTTGTAACTGACTGTCACAGCATCATAAAATATGCTTAGCGTTATAACTGAATGTCACAGCATCATAAAATATGCTATTTGAAGAAAGAATAATTATAAATTTAAGTTAATAGCAACTATCGTAATAGAATGATTTGAATCGAAGTGTACAGTTTCATCACTCAGGGATTTGATAGTTTGCTATCAGTAACTGATTTATCATTTAATGAAACTAAGGTAGTAAAATTCATGTTGAAGATGTCTTTCGGTGCACTTTCGAATTCCAGATGTTGAAGTGTCCCTGTTTTTATTGTTTCAAATGGCTGGACACTTGTACCTTAATTCATTCTTCAGTAACGACCAGTCTTTTTGCCTTCACATCACCGGAAGTGTCATCCAAGGTGCATCATCGGCTGTGTCCGACTTTTACTAACAAGAATGGAGAAGATCTGTTCCAGTCTTTATGGAGAAACATAAAATTTATCGTCCCGATAAATTATTATAAATTTAAACATTTATCGTCCCGGTGGGACAGATCCAAAGGTCTACCACCCCTCTTTCCCTACCACAAAGCCTCTGGAGGGAATTTTCGGCTCACCAATTTTTATGTAATTCTTGCATAGGTACTATGGCTCATTACTTTTGCACCATAGTTGGTTACAGAATCAAATGTAATGTGTACGATGCTAGAAAATGGGGGTAAAATCGTAGCGAGCTGCTAGATGTCACTAGTGAAGGGTAGAACACATTGCAAAACACATAAACAATACTTGCATTTTCTAGAACTTGCATTTCTTGCATTCTTTGCATTTCATGTCTGAGAATGTAGTTTGTTCTAGCACTTACAAACAACAATTATTTTATCAGGATTTAAACCAATAACCCCTTGTCTGTGACGCCGAACTCTGTTCAGGCAATGCACATGAGCCAATTTTGGAATGCTCGACCTGAGTTCGGGCAAGAGGAAAATCGATGTTTCAATTCCGTGAATTGTTCAAACACTGTTCATTTAATGCATAATATGAAATTTAACATTTTCCCAATATATGGACCTGAAATTTACAAATATACGAGCAATCAGGAAGGACTTACTACTCAATTTAAAAAAAAAAAAAAAAAAAGAAAAGAAAAGAAACAAACAAAGGTGATGTTCTGGTTTTTTAGTGTGGAAAAGTAAAAAAAGTCCTGAAGTAGCATGACAAGAAAGAAATTTACCTGCTTTCTTTGGTCCATACTGCAGAAATGATTGAGATGGAAGATCGGCAGAAGCAAAAGAAACTGAAACCTAAAAGTAGTTGCTCTCTATCACCACAGGAGGGTTTGATAAACTTGATCAACACCTTACAGATTATCCCATTGCCGGAAAACGTGGGCAATCATCAGGCAGTGGTAAATGTAGTATGGACTACAGAATATCAAACGTGGAACAAATCATTGAAGATAATAAGACATACATTCAGCCGATAGGACCAGGGCATCCTAATGTGAACTTGTTGCGACTTATGGGTTGACACTTTCCTGAACACATTCCACCAACGGAGATAAAGATTACTTCAATCAGACAATGTTTCCTTTGTTGTCATAAAATTCACGAAACAGGAGAGAGGATACGATGCCAGACTAGAATTTATTGTAAAGACTGATGTAGGCTTGTGTGTTATGCCATGTTTTCATATATACCATATTCTGAATTTTGAAGGAGTTGTGAAATTCAAAGAGAATCTGAGGGACATGGAATTCATAACAGTTTATATAAATAATAATATTGTTATATTTGTTTATTAAATTTATCTTGAACATTATGTCATATGATTTATTTTGCTGTATTTTGATAAAAAATTACTGTCCATTAACATTTCCCATATATGTGAAAATATTAAATATAGTAGTTATTTTGTAAGAATTTTTTTTTAAATAATCTGTTTCTAACATTTTAATGATAATAATGAACAAAATGAAAGGGAAAAAATTTTCCCATTTTTTGCATGTTTTTCTCAGATATGTTTCGCAGGCAAGGGGTTAAAGCTCTCAAGAGGATTTTCGACGCACCAGTAATTTAAGTACCTCATTTCCGGGTACATACTATACACAAAAGCTTTAGTATGAGTAAATATGTTCTTGTAGCATAGTGAGTTTAATTTGATGAAATTTTACTTTCCAAATGATGGTAGTGATGCCCAAATTTCTACAATACTCCAGTTAAAAATATGGGGAATTTTTAAAGAAGACAATTTTAAGGGCTTATTTGATGAGAAAAGGTCCTTTTTCTGTAGTATTGTGTGAAATGATTAGATTTCTTTTATTACTAGCCCAGAAAGGCTAATTTTGTTTTGGCATTTTGTGTTGATAGCATTAAATGTGGGTTCACTTTTCATTTGCCCCCAAATATTATCGCCGTGTGTTATATTTAAAGAAATTAAGTAATGAAGAATCAGCATAAATATATGCATGTTTCTCGCATTGTGATAAAACAACAGTACCAAGAGCCATCCAATTTTGAATAACATAATCTTCCACCAAATATGGGCATCTTCAAGGCCTAATTTGAAATTTGTTTTATTATCGATTTCATATTTTGTAACACTTAAACGAATTTTTGATTAACAAACTCGACAATTTCAAAGTGAGCAATTGCAAAATTGTACCGAAAGAAACATTTTTATATCCACTGCACGAGACTATGTATTGGAAATTCTAAAGATATTCTCATTTTAAAATTATTTTGCGATATTGCTGTTGAATTGAATTTTATGGTTTAAGTACAAAGAACATTTAATAAACAAAGGTAACACACAAAAGGTTAAAAAGAAGGTCACTTTGGGCATAATTTAAAATGTGAAAGCTTTCAGCTTTTTTGTTATTATTAGTATTTAATTAATTTATTTAAAAGAATATTTTGTTTTAAAAAGATTTTTATTTGCCTTCATTGCACCAAAAATTGTAACAGATCAAACAAACAAAAAAAATATGATAGGAGGTAAATTTATAAAGTAGTTTAGTGTCTTGTTTTTTGAAAACATAAAGCTTTAGTTATGCAATTTAAATTTATTTAATTCTGTGGAAAAATTATCAAATTTCACAGAGTGCATGTATGAACATGCATGTGAACTTACTGGCCTGAGACTGTTTAACCAATGCCAGACTTTGTTTTTCTGTTTTTTATAGGTAGTATTTTGTGGTGTCTGGGAAAGAAAGAAACTTCTGTCTAAAGAATGTATTATTGGTCCATGATGTGCTTTTCAAGTTCCATCATTTGTTTGTTGATAGTCACTACGAGTCACAGTAGTGTCATCTCTTCCACTGACTACCTAAAGAATCACAATGAATCCAGATTTCATGATACTTCTCACCTCTCCAGTAAGAATCTCACAAAATATGGTCACGATCGGCATCAGGCATCTGGAAGTAAGTCGTTATCTTGCTGTTGCATCATGTGGTGCGACAGTCATTATTCTAATTTTCTATGTTTTCTTGTTGAATATTCAGCATCTGTATTGTTTTATGTGCAAGCTGCTATATATTGCTGAAGATCCACTGTGCCTGAGTGGATACTGTGGTAATTCGTTCCGGGGTATGTTTTTGTCGAACAGATTTACTGTTTGCAGTTATATAGTATCTACTGTGTTTGGCAGTGAGCCGGTTTCAGTTAGAATGTCTCTCATAAAGGGTTCAGAGATAGCTCTTGAAAGCTGAGCTGTAATTAATTAGCCAGATTAAACCTGGTAATGTTGATTTTACAATCTGTGAAACTTGGTGGCATTGAAAATTCCCTTATTTCCCATATTTATCAACCCTTCAAGGAGTATGGTTTGGCTCTGAAACTTGAAAACTCTTCAAAAGGCCATGAATAAGGGTTTTTTTCTTGATTATATACAAACTAATCCACTTACTTTTTATGTTGACTCTTTTTTTTTCCAACATACACCAACCTAAAATCCGATCTATCAGGAGTTGGCAGAAATTTTCATATGTAATGAACTGGAAAGCCATCCATCTGTGTGGAATTTTACATCCATAAGCCATGGAGACTTGTAATGTTGTGTCTAAGATTTATCAGTAAGAGAAGCTGTATGTATTTTTATGCTGTTCTGTCAGCATTTTTGATTGATGGTAATAAATAGAATCATACATATCAGATACTGAAGAAGACTGCTGTCTTGTTTGTCATGAAGTTTGGTCATAACTAATTGGTACATTTTGTTACATACTTTTTAAACCCATAATTTGCCAAATTTTTTACTTTCAATTTACACTTATTTCTGGGTGTCTAGACTGACATAGAGACTAGAAATTGGAATATGAATGGAATATAGATGAAATCTGTGTTTAGCCCCAAATGAGGATTGATATTCAAGTAGCACTCACTGGAAAATAAAATTCACATTGACAATAAATAATTAGTAAATATATTCTAAAACCCCTAGAGAACACGGCAGTAGATAGGAGTTGGAAATGATGTACATAATAATAGGATATATCACAGTTTGAAAGTGTTGAAATCTTGAAACTCATTTTACTTTTTCTCACAAATAAGATTTTCCAGCTCACTCATTTAACAACTGCTACTCAAGAACTTGTGCAAAAGCTTGAGAAAGGTTTAAACAGTAATGTAAAAAAGTAACCATTGTTGCCAACCTAATTAAAGTTACCAAATTTTCCCTACTAAGACAAATCCCAAATGGGGTTCATGGCAGTTAATAAGTCAAAGTAATGTTCATATTCAAATGAGTTACCATCATTTACTGATGAGGTGTTAATAATGCATTTCCCATTCAGAAATTGAGGATCTGCAAGGATGTTTTTTAATCTTTGTATACCTGCAATTAATATTTATTATCTGCCTTTAAATGCTATTGTGTTTTAAGTTTGGAGACTTTTCTGATTTAATTAGTATCATAATTTAGTCAACATCCAGGAATCAACTGCGTGTTATAATAACTGCTTATATGCATAGTGTGGAAAATTAATTTTGAATATGAGTAAAATCTTATTTAGTTAGGATGATAATATTTCAAGGATTATGTAGGATCTATAAAAGATCAGTGATTTCTATTAGAATTGTGAGATTTATTTTAACTAGCACGTCAATATTATTTTTGTTAAGTTGTTCTATAATTTCTATTTCTCTCATCTGCCTTCAGCAAAGTACAAAATTATTTAAGATTTAAATAGTGAGCAGAATTGTAATTTAGCGCTCTGACAACCATTCGGTAAATGTGAGTTTGAAACGAAAATGCAACTACTTAGGTAACCAGTACATTAGTGAGCAGCTTCAGATAACTGAGATAATACTGCTGACCATTAAAATTGCTATGTTAGGAGGGAAAACAAACAGCAGAATCTTATTTAGTGAACATGTACAGTATAAGAGGAAGAAGTAATCAAATTTACAAATGGTTTGCAGTTCACAGCGTGCAAAATCCAGTCTGCACAGCTGCCTGTTCTGGCAACAACAGCAGCTGTAATCTGGCTTCACACTGAGTTTGAACTAAGCTTGAACTACAAATATGGGTACTTCATTTTATGTGGCTTCAACTCTATACCAGAGTTCATCAATCTTAGTAGCTGAAGAATGGTGGCATGACAGTCTCTTGGCAACCCATGATCAGTTGTTCTCCGTTGGTGAGAGATCTAGAGAATATGCAGACTGGGGCAGCAATCAAACACCTTCTGCATTGAGGAAAGTCAAGATTAGCATGGGCAACATGTGATGTGTTATTGTCTTTTTGAAAGATGACATTATGTAGGCCCTGAAGATAGTAGTGCAGCCACTAGCCTTAATACATCAGAAATGTAATGGTGGCTGTCCACATTGCTGGCTTGTGTAAAAGAGGTGACTGCAATGGTACTCCATACTAACATGGCAAGTGTCATATGATGCTAACAAATGCAAGCTGGTAACATTTGTTATTCTCTGTGTCTACACATAGATGCAACATAATGCCTTATGCAGAATCAGGATTTGCTTGAAAAGGCAGTGTAATGCCTTTCCTGTGCCCGACGTTCTCATTTGTTATGCCATTGTAATTTCACCTGGAATCGTCAAGGAAAGCCACAACAATGCATTGCCATGTTGATGGTCCTTTGTGCTGATGACATTGTCACACTGTCTGAGTGGACATTTGTTGTCATACACATGATCCAAGTTCCCTACTCAGAAAAGATGGCCGTGCAATCCTGCAAGGCTGAAAGGGCAACATGTCTGTCCCCTCAGGCATTAGTGGCTCAGGGCTGCTGAGATCTTGAATTGTATTCAGTATGTCCCTCCTGGATCCATTGATTCCATATTTGTGTGACACCTAAGTTTTTAACAGTTATCTTTAATTAAAGCTACTTTCCTATTCTTCCTAATTTCAGCTTGCGATTTCCTACCAGAAGTGTTTTTAGAATTGCGTTTAATGCAAATGAGTAAGGTCGAAGCTCCACTGACTTCGTTAGAGAGGAGTTTCTGACTAGTGCGCTTTCGTCTTTTGGCTATGTCTCTCTAAGCTATTTCTACGTTCACCTGTATTTCATGCTCTTGAGCTTCACCAGCTTATTTGATATTTAAGGGCAACTACTTAGACATTCTTGACAGCTTTGGCTATATCTTTTAGTTAAATTTTATTTCTTGTTACTTTGAGTTCAAGCCCAAGTGGAGGCTTTACTGTACACTCTGAGAAAGAAGCCGAATGTACATTTTTATTTTTAATAATAAAGGGTAATTAATCCTTCTTGAGTTTTATGTCTCGGTTCCTCAAATCAAGCGATTATTTGTTTATCTGTTCATGAGGTTCCTGCACAGTTAGCTGTTAGATAAAAGACTGGAACCATGCACATTCAAGGGGCCAGTACAAAAAGCAATGTTGCAGAATGACAAACCATAGACCCCAACAGGTCACAGTCGAATTCTAACGCATACTGGTAGGAATTTCTCATTCTTACGTGAGGCATAACATGACCTTTTTACAAACAACCAATTCAAATGAGAGAACAGCTCTTAATTTTTCCTATTTATGCATAATTTGGATGGCATTACTCATACCTGTTTTGTGCGCATGCTCTGGAATACTAATCATTTGCATATCGCAGCATATAGTATGCCTTTCATGTGAAATGTTTCATTCTTTGAAATTTTTTGCATGCCAATTTTATTATATAGCAATTTTAATGGCCAGCTGCAGCAGTGTAGTTAAAAACCCAATAACTTGAGTCGAGTTATTAGTGAAAATTAGTTTGTGTGTTTTACTCCTTTAAATACTTTAGTTCCAGATACTTTGCAAGTAATGGTGGCTAATAGTTTTTAAGCAGTGTTTCAAGACATAATTTGAATAATCCTTTACTTCAATTTTTATTTATTTGTGAAGTGAATTAAATATTCTAATTTGTTGCAGAAATGAGATTTATCAGATCCAAGAAGCTTAAGCAGCCAAATTAAAATCGATAATTAAAAGTTAATAGTTTGTAATCATATAGGAATATTAATAGCTTAATAATCCTATAAGATTGCTAACTAATTATCCTATAATTAATTAATAATCTTACAAGATTACAACTAATGTAATTAGATAATTAGTATGTAATCATATAGGATCTTATTCGGAATATTAAAGAATTTTGAGATTCATGGAAAATGAATAAACTGCTCCATGTCTGACACTCGCCCAGAGACATGCCTGAGCTAGTTTTGTTATACATAAAATAATGATTGACTTCAAGTTGAACATAGATATTCAGAATTTTAGTCAGTTACTAACTGTGCTGCCTTTTCTAGGTTTTGAGAGCATGTTGGGTGGCTCCTACCAGACAAAGTCAACAAAGAAAGGCCCACTTTCATCTTTTGAAACACTGAGAACCATAAAGTCCAGCAGTCAAATGAAGCGGAATACTCGAGCAGCAGCTGATGACTTAATTCTTCCTCTTCCAAAAATGCAAAGAAGTAAGACAGCAATTTCCTGGTATATGAAATGTTTTTCTTTGGCAAATTACACTCATGTCCATAAATTAAGGATAATGCAAAATCAGGCAAAGGAAGAGTTAGAAGCAAAACAAATTTGACTTATTTGTAAAGCTTATTTACTAAACAAAAGGTAAAGAGCAAAAAAAGATGCTATATGTTTGATATTATTAAAAAAAAATTAGCGATTTTTTCTCCCTGGAGCAAATTACAAAAAAAAAAAAAAAAAAAAAAAAAAAAAAAAAAAAAAAAAAAAAAAAAACCTATTTACAAAAAAACAATAATAATGGTTGGTATGATTGTTAATATATTGTATGTCTCCCAGAATATGCAAAACAGTCCGTACAATGCCTAGGCATGCTGAGTATCAAATTATCGATCTGATCTTGGGGGATATTACACCACTCAAAAAGCAATGCTCTCCGAAGTTCCGGTATACATGTAGGAAGAGGTTGACTGGCTGCAACTCGTCGGCCAAGTACGTCCCACACGTGCTCTACTGGATTAAAGTCCGGTGAGAATGCTGGCCAGTCCATACGGGTGATATCCTCCGATTGAAGGCATTCGCTTACGATGTTTGCACGGTGAGGACGGGCATTGTCATCCATAAACACAAATTGTGCGCACATGGCGCCCCGAAACAAACGTACATATTGTTCCAAAATGACGTCCCGATAGATGTGGCTTGTCATGGTTCCAATTTGAACATGCAGGTCAGTTCTGGAACCCAGAATAATTCCACCCCAAACGAGCACTCCTGCACCGTCGTAACGGTGTCGTTCAATGATGTTTTCTTGGTGGTAACGGGTACCTGGAGCTCTCCATATGAAAGTCCGGGGAGAATCAGACTGCAAGTTAAACCTGGATTCGTCAGAAAACATCACACAAGCTCACTGTTGCGGTGTCCACAATGCATGCTCTCTACTCCAGGCTAACCACAGGCGACAGTGAGTTGCAGTAAGTGGAACACATCTGACAGGTCTACGAGCATATAGACCGATCTGCCCTAAGCATCTGTACACAGTCTGCCTTGAAATGTCGTACCAGTGGCTGAAGAGAGCTGACGAGACAGGTCTGAGGCTGTGCTCCGCCTGTTTCTTTTGGCAGTAACTGCCAACTACCGGTCCTCATTCGGCGTTGTAACTCTGGGGCGACCTATGCTGGTGTCTACTCACATTACCATCATCTTGGAATCGTTGCCAAAGCATGGAGATGACACTCTGGGCAATTCCAAGTTCGTCTGATACTTCCAGTTGGGTACGCCCACATTCCAGACGGCCGATAATTCTACCACGTAAAAAAATCATCCAAATGCGTCCTTTGTGCAATAACTATTCGGTTATTGCACTGAAATGCTTATAAAGCGCCTGCGAATAATTTTACTTCTTTGCCTGTATTCCTTATATATCACTCTCTTACACTCTCGTCATTGTGACGTACCATCGGTGTCATCTGGTTACTTTCTGAAATTTGCATATGATTCTTGAAGATGTGTGTAGTGATTTTACAGGTGATATATTTATTTTAGAGTTCGATTTCGGCGTAACTCCGAATTATCCTTAATTTATGGACATGAGTGTATATGAAAATTTTGTTGGTACTTTTTCATTTCACCGGCACAAATCTCACTAAGCAGACTTTATGGTGACAACACACATTATACACATAAAACATTTTTACCAAATGTTAGTTCTAAGAATTTTTTACTTTAAAGCCATAAACATTTTAATATCATTTAAATATTTTTCAAATGGGTCTTTCATTTGCCTTCTCCAGATAAATTCCACGAGTTAACTTTCCAGATGATTACGTGCCATTTCACTCTGTTTCTTATTTCGCCATTGGTGCTACCCTATAGTCTTTCCATTTTTGTGTGTGTGTTCCAGTTTCGGAATTGACACAAGTGTGTTCGAAACAAAAAAAATGTTCAAAACTTTTCTCTTCCAGTGTTTCAGTGCAGTATGATTTTCACGAATCCGAATATATTATAGTTCCGTTTTTAAAATTTTCCTTAATTACTTCTAATATAATGCTCATGGATCGGCTTGGCAGCTTCACAAAGAAACATTTGTTTGTTTCACATCGTGTTTCACCAAAGATTCATTGTTGTGGTAGAATCCGCCCTGCATTGTTTTTGCGCTTCGCGAACACACTTTCAACCACTTCGGCAGTCATACCAAATCCTCCTATTTTACGCTGTTGACGTTTAAGTAAAGAATCCACACAAACCTTGTGCATGTAGTTATTTTAGTCAACTGTTTCATGACTGATTTCTAACTGACTTGTAGTGTCCAGGGGGTTAACTTCTATCTGGATACAGGAGTAGCAGGGAAGTACACAGAAGAAGGGTTCAAACCCTTTATTAACTCTTTAAAATTTACAATGCGTCTGCTTGATGCTAACAAACTTCGCCTCTACTTGGGTGGGTAACTGAAAGTCAGAGAATAGAAACTAAAAATTTGAAGATATTAACAAAAAAATATAACTAGACTACAGGGCTCAGCGAAATCCCAAACTTCAACCCCCTTCTAAAACTAGTGGCAGCAGATTAATGCAATTAGGCCATTTGAACCAACAATCAGCAAAGTACCTATGGAAGAGACGGCAGCTAGAGCCCAACTCTCTAACTCTCCTTTTAAAAACTCGGTATTTATAGCCTTTTCTCCTCAAGGTAGAATTTGCATTCTTCCATGCATGCTACCAAAATTTAACTATTCTGGCACTGACAATTAGGGGAATGGAGGCATGTAGGAAAGTCTGAACTAAAATCTAAATTATTAGTAAAAATAAATATAAATCCGTACAGACTGATTTTCACAAAATTTAACTGAAGTTAATTCTTCGTTCCAACCATAACTAAACCTCACACACTTCAAGAAACTCAATTTTGATGACTCAAACCATGTGGCTTTTTGGATACTTCTTTTACTGCGATAAACTGAAAGATTGCAGTGCGACTGAATTTTGTCTCCGAAATACAATTGTATTTCATGATTATTATCAGAAGTAGCAATTTTACGCAAAACAACTTTCTCTTGAAAGAATTTGACAGAAAGTTTTATTTCATTATTTTTATTCATTTCATTTTTGCTATCTCTTGTTTCTTCTCTCTCTGCATGCAGATAGATTTCATAGATATTTAGGCTTGAATAGAAGTACTTGTTATGATTATGCAATGTAGTAGCTTAATCATTTATGGCTATTTTATTTTCTGTCTTATCTGAATAAAAATATTTACATGCAGTGTGCAATACAACATGGGAATTTTTATGAATGATACATAATCAAAATGTTAAAAAAGTATTTTTATTATTTTTTTAGGAAGCAGTCATGCAGATCATGACCACTCATCAAAACCATTGACATCGTCTTCCAAAGTGGAGAAACGAAAGACGAGTGCTCACAGTCATATGCATCATCATCATAATGATACTGATGATAGTGAAGATCATCATGACATAAGTGATGAAGATCACAATATAAATGGTGAAACTCATCATCATCAGGATTCTCATGAAAGATCTCATGCTAGTGATATTTCCGACAGTGATGAAGATCATCATCATCATTCTAGTGAAATGTCATCATCTGAAAATGAAGGTAACGATGAAAATTCTGTGAAAGAAGGAGGTCTTCCAGATGGTCATAGCAGTAATCATGATGGTCATTCTTGTGATCATCATCATGAGCATGGAGAGGAGCATTCTAGTGATGTAGCACCATCTGCTGATTTTCATCAACATTTTGCTGCATCGAGTCGAAACATATCAGGGAAAGGTATGTATATTATCCAAAAGTGATGTTTTCTCACTGTTCAAAGTACAGTCATAATAGGTGATTTATAATTATTATTTCATTTACTTGCAATCTTTTTACATTATTGACGCTATAAGATATATAACTTAAGTCATTAGGGAATAATATTCAAGTCAAAAGACTTGTTTTGTAACAAAGTAACAGTGAAATTTTGATTTAAATCTGCCATGCTATTTGAATGCGCTTGCTATGTTAAAGAAAATTTTTAAAAATCATCATATCAAAAAAGTGAAATGTACGTCCATTAAAAAATGACGAAAGTTCTGTATCTTCCACTCTATTGGGCTGATAGACGAAATTCAACTTCCGTTTTTCGTGTCTTGAAAGAATGAGTTAGGTTACATAGTAGATGTATAGCATTATTCTGATTTAGGGTTTTGAACTAACACAGGTTGGTTAACACATGTATAATTAATCTAACACAGGTTGGTATTTGAACTCAAAATTGGATTTTTTCTCCAATGACATATGATATTTCGATAGCATGTCTCAAATTATGCCAAAGTGTTTTGTAAAAATCACATGGTTTTTTAAAAAATTAGTTGTCAAAGTTTTAGCTTCTAAGTGTTAACTGAATTTGATACATCTTCTTTTTTTATTATTATTAAACTTACTTGATTCCTTCTTTTACATTTTGAAATTTAGGTTCAGTGCCAAAAAAATTCGCACATTTTTCTGATTTATTTTCTAAATTTGTATTTTTAAGTAATTTTTATAAATTTTTTTTTTTTTAAAAAAATTTGAGTTGTAACCCATATAATTTTTAGCATCTTCTTAAAGTAGAAATATTTTTACGCATTTCTTCAGATTTTCCTAAGATATATGTGAGTTTATATACTGACACATTTTAGATTTGGCATCTTTGTTTTAAATAATAATAATGACACCAAATGTGATTTACAGATTTTATTAAAATCTTCAGTGAATTACCTTTTATTTTTAACCTTAAATTACCAAATAATTTTTTTAAATTCCTAGAGAGTTTGCATAATAAATATTTATTAATGATATATGGAAAGCAATTTTTAATTTATAAGGAATATGAATGAAATTTTTCATATATTTTTTTCCCCGATATTTTATAAAGTAAATTTTTATCTTATAGTGTTGTCTGCTGATTTTACTTTAACTTCTTTTAACTCCTTAACTGCAGCGGGCGTATATATACGCTTTGCTCAGCCGATACTTTAACTGCCCCAGGCATATATATACGCCCTTCCAAAATACTATCATTTGCTTTGCGCAGCTACCCATAAAATTATTTGCAAAGCTTTTTAAATGCAACACCACAATGACCTTGACAAAGTATGCGAAGGAAGATACTTTTTCAGACAAGTGTGGGGAGAAAGTGGAGAGAGGGCTGTGTCTAAAGAGGTGAAAGTAATGACTGCGCGGTATTGGTGTTATTTGAGTAAAATGTATTTTTTTTATTCTGTGTCCCCCGTTTTCGTTTACTTTTTGTAGTAGGTTGAAGCATAATAAAGAAAGATGTTATGGATGTTTCAAACCCATTTATCTTTTTTGAATTATTTTTTGATGAACTGCTCGTGCTTCATATTGTTACTGAAACTAACCGTGTTGTAGACGAGTATATGAACTAACACCTTGCAAACGAAAAACCAAGAGCAAAATCGTGGCATTCAACCAGTTCGGAAGAAATATATGTTTTTTAGGCATACTGATTTCACAAGAAATAACACTGAAACCTGATATTACACTTTACTGGTCTAAAAATGACTTGATCGAAACTCCATTTTAGGGATTTTTTATTATAAAAACATCATTTTTATTATACTTACATCTTTTTATTATACTTTTACTCACAACATTAAATTTTGTGCATTAATTTTTTCTATTATTCTTTATTTTGTGAAAGTAAACAGTTTTTAGAAAGTAAAACTTGCCCTTATTTTCCCCTAATACATTGCATAACTACGTGCGCCTGTGTGAAAAACCGTGGCACTGGGAAATTAATCTTTTACGTTTTCCACAGCAGTTAAGGGGTTAAATCAAATTTTCGAAAACTGAGATAGTTTTGATACGGAAATTTAAAAAAGTCATTGATTAAATTTTTTAAAATATAACCGGCTGTAGCAGAAGTATACTAACTCAAAAATATTGCACAATTAAAATAAGATTTAAAATGAATATTAAATTATTCTTGCTTTATCAAAACACTACATACAGAAGAATTCATAACAGTAGATATTCTGAAATATTCAATTTTTTTCATATTGTTGTTGTTGATTCCTAAAGTAACATTCTAGAATGAATTCCAAAATATTAATATATATTAAAGAATTACATGCAGGTTCAAGAAAAGTCAATTCAATTCTACTAAAAACGGCAAACTAAATACAAAAACCATAACAATGCATTATACAAACGATAATACAGTTTTAAAGATAACTTCACTAAAGTTATTTACATACATACAAAAACTGGAGTATGCTTTTACATGTGTATAGATTCTTAACAAATACATAAATTAAAATTATTCAAATTTGCAGTATTTTAGAAATCCAATCTTTATTCAAAAACTTGACATTGTTTTGATTTCATAAACTAAATTAAATTCTTCAAAATGTATGATTTAGTCTTCTTTTCCAAAATCTCGTCACATTATCTTACACTAGGTTGGGTTATTTGAATATGGCAAAGCACACATGATCTATCTGACTAGGGGGAGGGATGCTTTTGTGGATGACTTTCTAAGAGAAACTGGTTCACATAGCACATGGGGTAACTATAAAAATGCAGTCAGTCCATTCACCTGGGATGAAGTATGAGTATTCAGTGGTCATTATGGAACTATGTGTATCCATTGATGGGACTTGCTTAAATTATGAGCTAGGTTGTTAATCTTTCCAATTTTAAATATATAAAATATTATTTTATTCATAGGTGTAAAAAACAGAGTTAAAGTTTTGTTATTGTATTACTTTCTAAACTGTTAAGCCATATAGTGCCAATGAATGTTCAGTTACATTTGCTATTTATTATTCTGTTCCTTTAGCATTTTTGGAATCCCTAAGCTAAAGACAAGAGGATAATTTCCCTGCATTCTGGGAAGATTAAACAGGTGTGTGTGTGTGTGATTATGGCAAAGCCTCGAGGGCTATCTGCCTAATCGGAGGAATGCTTCGTGGAGGACTTTCTAAGAGAAACTAGTTCGTATACACGTTACAATGGGGAAAACCATGAAAACGCCCATGCAGCCAGCCCATTCACGGGATCCGAACCTCGGACCGAACTACTAGTGTTCAGCCGACTCGGCCACTGGTGGGCAGAGTCGTAGCTAGGGTTTTCAGCGCCCAGGAACAACTGAAGATTTTTGCGCCCCATACTGCTTGCCAAGGATGGAAAACATTTAATTCTAAAATGTCGTAACATCAGTTTGGCGCCCCTTGGATTCTGCGCTCGGGGACAGATGCCCCCCTCTAGCTACGCCCCTGCTGGTGGGCGAAGATTAAGCAGCAATTGGATTTTTAGAATAGTGACATCAGTTTTATTTTACAATGTGAGGTGTCAAAACAATTATGTTTAAATTGTTTGGCTTAGATGAGCTGCAAATTAAGCAGATGATTGTAAATCTTAACATTATTCAGTCAGAAATTTCTCATCATGTCTGCTATTTATCTGTTGTTTACGATTAGCCCTTGTGTATGCATAGAGTTTGAGATGTTTTCTATTATTGCCTGTTTATGTATAATGTCAGAAATAGATTCTGATAATTTGACTTGACTGTATGTTTCTTGTAATTAAAAATGTAATACTTGTACATTATGTGACTGGGAGGAGATAATTTCTTGTGTTAGACATTCTTTGTCTCCATCTTGAGCAAATCAGCATTCATCAAAGTTAAAATCAGTTTTATACCATATACAATATGCCTGCAAAAGAATTATGTAATGTAACATTTGCAACAAATTGCTCAAAAGGTTTTTTAATGTGGTGTGGTAAGATAACATGTAGAAAATTTCGCTGATGAATTCACTGTGGAAAAAACTGAAAAAAATGAATGAATCAGGAAGATCAATAAAAATCATGAAACGCACAAGTGGTCATCTTCTATACAGTTATTTATTATATCTCTGCTTGTAGCAATAAAGATCAGTCCTTCATTTTAGAAAGTTTCAGAAGCTTTCAATTTTAAAAAGTATTCTTTCAAACAATGTTTTTATGCCTTTTTAAAAAAAAAATTGTATTTTATATCTGCAGAAATATTTAAATATTCTAATTTTTCTTCATTATTGATTCAATTGCCAATACAATAGATTCTTGATTTTGCAAACTCATAAGAACCACAAAGATATTCATTACATTATCGAAATTAACATTATTAACATAATTATCATTAATAATATCATTAACATTATTATAACATTATCATAAATTAATTATTAAATAATATCATTAACATTATCATAAATTAACATTATTAATGTTATAACAATAACATTATCGATATTAACATTATCAAAAGCTCATAAATGGAAATGAATATTCATCAGGGTCAAAACTGTAGTTCTCAGAAATGTGTATTCAATAAACTGGATGTTTAAAGAGAGGCAAGTTTACTGTATTATTATGGAAAGAGAGTAAGAGTATTTGTAAGAGTTTGTTTTATCTAGCTTTTGTATATCATTGTAATACAGTTATTGCAAAATGTTTAATGTACTTTCTAATTTCATGTTAAACTTGAAATTAAATATATTTTACTTTTCAAACATATATATTGGAATAAAAATAAGCTGTGGTAAAATTAATAATTAAATCATAATAAAAATAAAATGCTTTAATTTAATGCATTTGCAAATTTAAATTTTTTATTACGTATCATAATTAAATAGCAATTTTTGATGAAAAATAAATTTGTAGGATGTTTATACTCGTAATTTGGATTTGAATGTAGCATTGCATTAGAAAGATTTAAGTTAAATCTGATTGTATCTCTTTTTCGATTACACAGAATGGCTCTATGCATCTCTAGCAGTTATAATAATCAGTCTTTGTGGCTTGTTCAGTGTCGCTGTCATTCCCATCATGCAGAAGTGGTTTTATCACACTTTGCTTCAGTTTCTAGTTGGATTGGCTATTGGAAGCTTGTCTGGAGATGGTCTTCTGCACCTTATGCCCCATGTGAGTACTTTTTGTATTTTTAGCAAATCTACATTTGATGCATCAATAAAGTACCTACGGATTTTTTTCAATAGATGTTAGAATCCAAATTGCTCGATTGTCAAAACTGCCTTCTGTAAATACGTTCAAGCCCTGCTAAATGAACTTAAAAAAACTGGAAGATTTGTTCTCTGCATCTGATAAGAAATATATTTGTCTATTGGATCCGATAAGAAAAATGGATTATGTCACAAAAAATGTAAAAACTGAATGATGAATAAATGGGGAGGGGGGGACTGATTAACATTATCGCATTTAGCAAAATAAATGAATAATAAATTTAATTAAAAATCATATTAAGATTTAATTTTAATTATTTTTACACACAGGTTTTAAATTTGTAGTTCATTTTTTCCCCCAGTCACTTCAAAGTGTCTGGCAGTTTCATTGACTTTTATCTGAAGCATTTGATCAAATATTGGCAGATTAAGGCCTCTTTGGATGGCAAACCATGCTTTCACCTTTCTCAACTTTTTTCTTGCATCTAAATTTTTCTATGAGCAGAAATTATAGAATTTCAATTTTTTCATATGGTATCAACTGAACACTTGGATAAACTATATTTCTGGCAGATATTGATATGGCTGCAATCATTTTTTTATTTTTCGAATAATGTTCATTTTATCTTATGTAGCTGCTTTATGTTTATAGCTTACCATTTGCTGCATTTTTGACACAGAACAGGGCATAGGGAGTTTGGTCAAAGACCATTTTGATCTTCTGGAAAAGATGAATTTTATCCAATGTCAAGTAACAATACAATTGTCCCCCCTCAAGGTACATATGGCTGCAATGCAAAGATTCAGTAACTTTTGTAAAGAGTATCTTATGTCTTGCAAAAGAATTCAAGAATGTAAAATTCCTGTTTTCGAGGGTATAACTTTTATTCTCTTTATGAAGAGCTTCTATACTGAAATAAAGCAAACGGATAAGAGTATAATTTTTCATTCTCTAAAAAAAAGTTAAAAAATTTCTCTCCTCTCTCTTTGGATAATGAAAGTTAAAAAATTTCTATCATAGCAGCATCGCCTTGAATATAGTATCATCACAATCAAAGAATTTAAATGGATTCGGAGAACCCATTCGTGTTTGTGAGTTCAAATAAATCAAAGATATTCATACTCTTGGAGGTTTCATGCATTATAAAATAGCATTAAGAGTATAGGAAACTGAACATGAATGAAAGGTTTATTCATTATATCTGAAAGTTCATTATAAGTGGGTTCATTATAGCGGAGTTCAACTGTATTACTTTTTCCATCAATATTTTCATTCTTCTAACTTTACTAATTTCCAGATTAACTGTTAACCTGTCTGATGAAACATGCCTTTTATCCTGTAGGAAAAGCATTTATCTTTATTTTAATCTAATTTAAACTGGTCTTTAAGTCAAGTAGTAAAAAGTAGCCTTTTATATACCTTCTCCAAGGAACAGAAATTCAATTAAAGCCATGAATTATTAAAAGAAAAAATTAATTTTCATCAGTATTTTAATTAGTATTTTCTAGATATCTGTCACTTTAAGAACATAAACATCAAATCATAATAACCAAAATCAAAAGTAAAAAAATTAAGTATTGAAAAAGTAACTATTGTCATTTATTGCAGATTAATTGACTTGTCAAGGGGAACAAATCAATCTACTATTCATTAATAATTAAATTAATATATATGTATATAATCTATTTACTAATGGATTATTAAATATATTATCTACTTTGATAAAGATAATTAGAATTCTATTGAAATAAAGTAACTTATAAGCGTATTTAAAAACTGAATCTTGAAAAAATTTTTAAATGGAAACATCAAAAATGAATCTTGAATAAATTGAAAAAGGAAACTTTTAAAAAGGTATAATTAAAATTAAAAATGTAATGAATAAACCAAGTAATTATCGTCATTGACCAGAAATTAGTTGACTTTTCAAGGGAAACAAACCAACTTCAGATCAATTAACAATAATTAATAAATGCGAAGGTATTTCATCTTTTGCACAAGTAAGAATTATTACAACAAAAATGTTTTTTAGCAAGCTGAGTTTAAGCTAAGTAAGTAGAGTTTAAGTGAGATGAATTGAAATAAAAGCACTGTATAGAATTCAGTAGGAAAGTGGCTGTTTCGTCAAGTTTAAAAATAAATTTCAAAATCATGATATATCATTCTTTAAATTAATGTCATGTACTCTAATTTTAACTTTGAATAATTGTGTACATTGCTTTGTGAATGTATTATTTTATCTTTTAATATTAGTAACTCTGTTATATCTTCCTTGTCACACTCAATGTTTTACATATCTGATTGTTCCAAGTATATCTATGCAAGTCATACCTTCATCTATATTGTAATTATCCACAGAACTCCTTAACTGCTCACATTGTGGAAGCCCATTAACACTATATTAAGTTGTATCTATCCATCTCTATTTCCATACACGTGGACACTGAAACTGTTCTCTTTACCCTCATTGCACCCTTCTTCCATCCCCAAAACATTGATTCGTCCAGCACTCTTTTTTGCACCCCTCAGCATTCATCATGCAAGAAATACAAGTGTTTTGCGGATTTTCGGAAAAGACTGAAACACAACATTTTACTTGCTCCTCTGCCAAACACAGGCCTGGGGAGCCTGCAATCCAGGAACTTGCCAATTATTTCCGTCAGTGGGGTCACCTGGCAGATATGCAACTTCCTAATGGATTGGCTGCCCTGCCATCATTGGAAAGAAGCCTGCAATTTCATATTACACAAAATGCTGGGTTAGCTTCTTTTTTTTTAAGCAAAAGTCTATTTGTCTTAAATCTCACTTTTTGTCCATCATATTAATTTTCTGTCTGCTTTGCTTTTCATATGTTGCAAGCAAATGTTATCGCCATGTATTATTTTTAAAAAAATCACATAACGGATATAAAAAATGCATTGCAACAATTAATACTTTATTGGGAATTTGATTTCCAATATAAAATATTTTAAACTTCCATGCACCAGTTAATTGCCTTTTTGCAAAGCATAAGATATTTAATTTTTTTTTAAATTAAATCTACTTGGTTTTGATTAACACACTAAGACATTTAAAAACAATAAACACCCCTTTTATTTATTACTATCCCTTTTATTAATTACTAGCCTAGACCCATGAAATGACCACAGCTCGATTTATTAAAAGCGTTATATATTTCTTCTTTTTTTATAATAACTATCTATTTTTATGTAATTAAGACTGCCAGTGGCTAGTTATTTGAAAAGTGAAATTGACAACAAAAGTGAGGTTCGAGAATGATTGCTCTTCTAGATTAAAAATGTATGGCAACTATATTGGAATAATGTATATATATATATATACATATATAACATTTGCATTATATATATATATATATTATTTCCATGTTAATAGTATATAATTAACACTATATCGGGAATTATAAAGATATGCTGTTTTTAAACATTTTGTGATGTTGCTACTGAATTTTATGCAACATAAGTATGAAAAAAGTGATGTTTAATAATGAAGTTAAAAATACAAAAGAACTTGTGTCAGTGGAAATGAGTCCAAGAGCAGACAGATAAAATACAAGTTCAAGAAGAGCATAAAAAGAACAAACTGTGTGGTGCAACGTCAAAATTTGAATGCATTCAGATTTTCTTCCTTCTTTTCTATTTTATTTATTTAAAAAAAAAAAAAATTATTTAATGAATGGCGGACACTTGCTTATACCGGCATTGGCCACTACTAAAACCAGAAGTGACGGCCATTTTATTATGGAGGCACCTAATATGCGGCCACCATTACCTCCTACGAAGGGACAGACAATTTTACATCCATGCTCTGGGATTCAAACCTGGGCTCTTTGTTATCACAATCAGGCTCCCCTAACCACTATACTGTCTGGGTGGCACTTCTATTTTTTTTTCTTTTAATGCATTTTTTAAATCATAAAAAAGCTTTATAAATTTATTTTATTTGTGGTGTGGTAGGGAAAGGATAGTTTAAAATATAGAGAAAGAGAAGGTCATGGAACTAATGAAATAATCTGAGAGTTATAAGCCAGTTTTATGAAACTTATGAAATAATCAATAATTATCTGATACAGTTTATGAGCCTGAATGGTATTACAAAACAAATTTTAAACTTTTTCTTATAACACATTTGAATTTTATCTAAAAAAAATTATTTGTGGGTAATAATTCTAAATTTAACATAAAACAAAATTAATGTTTGTATTCAAAATTCTCATTCCATCTTATACTATTATTAATTTATACTATTATTAATTACAGTTAATACATTATAAAAGTGAAATGAAAATATGAATATAATGCATTTTTTAATTGAAAGAATTAAAGCCTAATCAAAATAATGTATATTTTTATTTAATTGAAAGAAAAGAAACAACAAATTGTTATGCTGTCTTACAAAAAATGATAATTTTACATTTTGAGATTCGAGCTGTCATTTGGGAGGACATATCAGGTTTCGGGAAATCTGTTTGATTTTAGATCAGTAGATTCCGAAGTGCTAACAAGAAGCAAAGACATTAATATGCACACCTACTTACCATCAAATTTACTATATTTGTGCACCTTCAGAGCCATCAAAAGTAATTATTTTAAATCATCATACTCTTACATATTTTCATAACGTATTTTTGTCATAGCCTATATGTTGTATTAAAAAATTATGGAAATAATTGTTTATAGTTTATAAATGAAAAATGGTAAAGTATTCTTTTGATTAGCAGCAAGTAACACTGAAATAGAGTAAATATTAATATAATTAATATGAAAATTTGCTGGAATTACTTTGAAGCATTTTTTATAAATTTTTGTGTTCTTTAATGAAGCAACGTTATCAATACCTTTTTTTTTTTTTTTTTTTAATTTACACAATTACTTAATTTGTGTCATACAGAGAGAAAACTACGCTTGAAAAATATTTCTTGACCATGTGAAGATTTTGCATAA